GCTGGAGCGGGCCTCGCACAGGCCGGGTCTCGCCGCGTCCGTGCAAGGGGTGTTCTGGATCGTTTCTGGTTTTGTTTACATTTCCGTTTCTTAACTTACGTTTCTTACTTCTTAACGTAGCGATTTGGTTTGTAAAGCCTTTGAACTGATCGTTGTTTGTGTGAGAATGGTAAGACAGCCCTATAGTGATTTACTTTTTTAAAAACAAATGAACAAAACCCCCTACATACATGCACAAACTTTTCTTGTAAATAGTAACATTATCATATATGGAATATGTAAGCAGTGCCTCGTATAGCAGGTCTAGAAGGAACACGTAGTGTAAGGGAGCCAGAAGTACCAGCTCTCTAGAACTGGTGGGTAACCTTTTGTGGGTTCGGTTGTTCTTCATGTCAGCTTTAAGGGTTGTGGTTCTGTACGTGAACTGGATTTTCACAGAATCGCAAGGGTTGGAAGGGACCTCGGGAGATCATCTAGTCCAACCCCCCTGCTAAAGCAGGCTCTCCTAGAGCATTCTACACAGGACTTCATCCAGGCGGGCCTTGAATATCTCCAGAGAAGGAGACTCCACAACCTCCCTGGGCAGCCTGTTCCAGTGCTCCGTCACCCTTAGAGTAAAGAAGTTCTTCCTCATATTCAACTGAAACCTCTTATGTTTCAGTTTGCACCCATTGCCCCTAGTCCTGTCGCTGGACACCACTGCAAACAGACTGCTTCCATCCTCATGACTTCCGCCCTTAAGATATTTGTATGCGTTGATGAGATCCCCTCTCAGTCTTCTCTTCTTCAGGCTGAACAAGCCCAACTCTCTCAGCCTTTCCTCGTAGAGGAGGTGCTCCAGTACCTTTATCATCCTAGTTGCTCTCCTCTGGACTCTTTCTAGGAGTTCCTCATCCTTCTTGAACTGGGGAGCCCAGAACTGGACACAGTACTCCATTTTGGCCTCATTATCATTGGAATTTCAATATCTATTCTGACCTCATTCATATCTTGGAGGGAAAATACATTTATAGTAGACCAACTGTTGCAGTACATCAAAGCTGTTGAGATCTGTGAAGTTTTGACATGTTCTAAGCAGCCCAGGTCTGATACTGTTGTCTTTCAAAAATGCACATGGGATCAAGTTCAGTATAAAGCTGGAGGAATAAAGGCATACTTCATGCCTTTACTTGACTCCCTGTGAAATTCAGATAGTTTACAAATTATAAATTTCACATTACCTTAAAACAGCGGTGTTCTGTGAGGGTTTTTTTGTTTTATTTTTTCGCCTGAGCCTGGCCCTCAGCTTCTAAGCTACACAAATTACGATTGAATTTTTGTGGGAAGACTGTGATCCTTTTGCACCTTTGAGGCGTATAACGTTTTATTGCCTTTTGGGGTTGCTACTGTTAAAATAATGAATAAAGTTCTCTGTGTCCCTCCTTCTGTCAACAATTTTCTTCTTTTCCCTCCAAAACTAATCACAAGCAAAGGAAAAATCCCAGTCATTCTGCGTGGTAGAAATCACAACTTTACATTTGAAAATAATGCAGAGTTCTTGGTAACAGAGTTTCAAATCTTATTCTTTCACATGCAGTTTCCAGTCTTCCCCAAAACACATGTACGGAGGATTAAGCTGTCAGTGTGCAGGTGAAATGTACTACCTACAAAAAGTATTCCAGTAGCCAGGTTTGCTTAGCGCTCAGGTTAAATTGGAACCCTGGTCTCAACTTGCACACTTCCCTAAATTGACTGTACTGAGCAGTGGAACTGTTCAGTGCAACAATGCTAAACTGAGCTACGTGCTTTAGAATCATATGTTGTGGACTTCTTGCATTTCTGTCTCTGCTGATCTTATTATTTGTATAGACACTTGTGACCTGAGATGTAGTTTGTTTAAAAAAAAAAAAACAAACCAAACAAACCAGCTTTTAAGGCTTTCATGTTGATTTATCTTGGCTTATTATTTTTTAGGCTTCTAGTTTTGTATTTATATATGGAAACCTTGTCTTTTGTCTCCAAACAAGGAAGTTCAAAGGCATTATTTTTCAAAAGGTGAAAATTGCTCTTTTAAATCAATGAGGATGTCCCTTTTTTTTTTTTTAAGGAATTAATGTAGGCATCTCTTTTTCAACCCTAGAAATCTGCTATGGGGTTCACAGACCAATATTAATTAAATGTATAAAGTAATTCATTCATACAAAAGGTAGAGAGCCAAAATTACTACTGTTTTTCCCCCAAGAAAATGTCAATTCATAGTTTCTGAAACTGTCTTTTCTGTGGTCTGTAGGTGACTAACATGACATTGCTTTGAATGTGTTCTTTGATTGAAATTATTTTTAATATTCAAGGAGGAGGATGAGAGCTACATCCACAGAAGGTTCTCTGCCTCCAGCTTGTTCACTGGCCTGTTGGTTTTGGCAGATGATTTTTGCAAGAAGGATTGCTTTTTATTTAATCCTCTATTTTCAGGAGACTGGCTGTGATCCCCAGACTTAAGTGAAGTGTCATCTTGTTTCCTAGATTTCAGAGTTTATGCCAGACTCGTATCCTCTGTGTTCTCTACTGGTTTGTACAGCCAGGTCTTGTAGAGCCTGTGGATTCCATATTTGGAGACTGGCTCTTCCTGAGCACCCAGGGGCTGTTTCATAATCCTTTAAGCAGGAAAGAGCTTAAAAGGCTAAAGAGAAACCATTGCTCTAATCCTAAAAATTAAGGAAGCACTTGGATTTTACTAGGGGTCTCACTGGGCAGGAGTTTTGCATTCACCAGTGGGATGGCATTGGAAGGAACTGATCTGACTGGAAAACCTGATGCTCTGCTCTTTCCCACCCCTCTCCCTCTATCTCCCATCAGTTCCCTGCATTGCTCCCCCATTTCAGTTCATTATACAGCCACACAAGAATTATATTGCCACAAGAGACAGGTTGGTGTGGAGGAAGGATGATGCAGAGGGAAGCTGGAGGATGCTTGAACGAGATAACGTGTTGTTGACTTTGAATGTTTTAAATTTTACAAATACTTAGCCCAGAGGAGTGTCCACACATTTCTCAGTTGCTTATCCTCCTTTAATCCACTTGTAAACGTGAGGACTGTGAAGCTCATATCATGAGTACTTCAAAATTTGGGAAAAAGTCATGGGAGAAATACGGAGGTATTTGAATTTATTCCACCCTGAAAAGTGCCCAAGCTTGAGTAGATAATATGTTTAGCTTCATGAAAGGCAGCTTGCATGTGCTCTTTAATGCAAGACTGCCACTTACTCATCATTTTGTTAATGACTATGAAGAGAGCTGAAAATATTCATTTCAATTAATCAAAATAAGTGATCTTGCCATACGTTGTGGTTGTAAAACTGAAATGCCTGCTTTGGCTAATTTTACACCAGAAACCTTCCAAAGTGTCAAAATGAGATAAAAACTAAGCCTTCAGAAATGTGGGAAAAATTGTAAAGATAGTGATGTAATTTAAGGAGGGTTCACAATCAATCACTTTGACAGTCCTGTAGGACATTTCCTTGTAACTGTTCTAACTTGAGTGGCTAATGCTGGCTCTTTAAAATAAACATTTGTGTAAAAGTACTTTTAAAGTTTCTCATTAACTGCAGTGAGATCTGAGCTAGACATTGATGTATATCTCTAAGTAGCATCTGTTTAATGGCTTGATGACTGGATCCTTTCTGTTCAGTGGTTCTCATTTTTTAAAGTAACAATTAGGCACCTTGATCCTCTGTTAGCATGCTAAATCACCTCTTCATAGTAACACTATCAAGAGTGCTAAAGAGTTTCAGATATTTCATCTAATTCTCTTCAAAGTGTATAATTTTATCAAAGTGAGATTTGGCCTGCTTTAAAAGAGAGGAAGCAAATTTTCCTGCATTTTCATCTAAAAATAGAAAGATTTTAAAAGGAGAGCAGCTGTTGCTAAATTTTTGAAAGACTGAGGGCCAGAAGTCTTTTGTTGTTGTTTCTAGTGGATAATACCTGGTGACTTAATTAGTCTTGGATGCAGAACATATCTTAACACACATATTTCCTATGCATTTAGCAAGTTCTCAAATTCTAGTAGTGTTAAGCAATGAAAGTGAAAGAGCATTTGGTGTTCTTAATCAAATTTTAATTTCTTTCTAAAAGCACAAATTACAAATAAAAATTATGTGCTTAATAAAACGTAATTTGAGTTGATTTTTATGTACAATTATTGCATTGAATTAAGTATACCAAGCTGTTTCATAAGTTGGACCATTTCAACTCTCACTTCTGTGGTGAATATCATGTAACATAGCCAAGTCTGATATGAAAATTATTGAAGCACCAAAACATGGATGCTGTTGCTTATTTTTCAGCTGAGTCATCGTATTTCAATACTTGTAGTAGTTTCATAGTACCATCGTGCTGAATTTACAGTAGTGAATAAATCTATTACCACATTATTTTTTTGTTCTAGATAAAGCAACATATTTTGGAATTATTTTTCCCAATTTGAAAAGCAGCATTTGACATCCTGGGAGTTTTAATAGCATAGGAGGTATACAGCTACATATATAGGAGGTATAATAGTCTAATGATCCAACATAAGACTAATTTGTTTGTTTTTTTTTTTTAATGTAGGGATAATGATGAGACAGCAAAAGAAGAGAAAGCACCTGTGAAAGAGAAGTACGTTGCAAAACCAAAGGCAATCCCTTCTCTTGGAAACAAGAATAGATTCCACCCCTATTCAAAGGACAAGAATGCAGGCACTGGAGAGAAGAAGACTGTTAATCGTAATAGAGTTTTTATTAGCAACATCCCGTATGACATGAAATGGCAAGCTATTAAAGATCTTATGAGAGAGAAAGGTAACTTATTCCTTATAATGCACTCCACATAGAAAGGGGTAGAACCTAAACACAATATACATGTCCTTTGAGCCACACAAATTTGATTTGACTTTTTTTTTTGTTTTTGGCCTTTACTTGGTACATCTATCTCCCTTCTCCCTCTTTCATCTGAGACAATTGCATTGCAGGGTAGGATGGGTAAATGAAGTGCTTACAATCTTCTGCCATTCTAGTGTGACAGTAGAGAGTATATGCATGACCTCATGACTTCTTAAAGAGATTGTGTTTTGTCTAGTTGTAGTCTTTGTAGATTCTTTTTTTAAGGGCTATTGTATTTAAGCAACACATTTAGTGTGTTAACATGAATAATAAAGGATGTCTTTCAAAAGTTGTTTTGTATTTCTTTGGTGGAATCTGGCTGTGGAATTAACTTTGTCTGCATTGTCACTACTGCCATAACTGTCTGTCTGGAGATTTGTATTAAAAGCTAGTTACTATTGTTGCAGTTCTGGTAGAGTAATCTTATTACCCCAAACATTTTATTGCAAGTTTGGGGTAAAATAATGCTAATACATGAATTCAGTAAAAAGTTAGTTCTGTGTTTTCCTTGAAAATTTGATTCTTCAAAAGTAATGCAAAGCACACTTGGCTTTTAGGCTGTGAAAAATGCCAACCCCCCCCCTTCTGTAACTGCTGGTTTATCTGTTGTAAGGTGACGTGACTATTTGATTGGTTTATTTACTGAAACTTCCTACTTTAGAAAGTGAGTGGCTTGCTGTGAAATATTTGATGTGTAAATTTGGTTATTATGAAGGCAAACTTATGATTGAAGACATTCAGGTAGAAAGTCACCTTAAAACAGGTGTTGTGAGTAGGATGATAAATGTAACACTTCCCAGTGAATGTTGAAGTTTCATTTGTTAGGTTAAGGGACTGTGTATATCTGAATTTGTTCACCAACTATATCATACTGGCCAAAATATGATCTGTAGTATGAATTAGGTTAACTATAGTTGTTTGTTTTTAGTTTTTGAGAATGTGGCTGCTGCATATTTCTGAAAATTAGCTAAATTATATAGCCATTGACAGGAGGTATGTTGGTCTGGTTTTGATTGTTGGTGAATAATAGGTGCTTCTCTGTAGAGTTGTGCACAGGGGCACAGTAAAGAAAGATACTGGTGTTTAAATGCATTGTCTCTTGGTATTTTCCCTTTGTATGTCTTATGTAGTTGGTGAGGTTACATACGTGGAGCTGTTTAAGGATGCTGAAGGAAAATCAAGGGTAAGTGCCGTGGGCAAAAATCTGCTAGAGGTTTAAAAGTTCCTCAGCAGTTTTATTTTTGTATAATACCTGTACCAGTTATTGGAAAGTAAGTTTCATTTTTACACTGATTTTCATTAAGATAGCCTTGAGGATTTTGTATTAGAAGTAGTCTGACACTTCCATGCAACTCAAACTAGCTGGCTGTAAAGGACAAAATACTTCTGTAAATGTTAACAAATGGCATTTACTTAATTTTTCTTTTTAGCCAACATCTTTGTTTTGGTACAAATCTGTTTCATATAAGGGATGTTCGATAAGCCATTGATTTTATTTAAATTTTGTTAGCATAGTATTCTCTTCTTGGGGCCAATGAGTATAAAATGTTAGCTAAGAATATACTGTTTGAAGTGCCTGATTTGACAGCTTTGCAGGGTTGGTACTATAAACTCTGGATTAATGTATTTGCTTTCTTTAAACTAAATGGATGCAGATGGTTGGTGCCAGCAATGAGGCACTAAGAGTGAAGATTGTTAAAGCTCCTTTGTCGTCTTAAAAATAGTCAAAAGTTTGGCCAATAGTAGCTCTGAACCTGCAGTGAGAACATGAGAAATGCAGGTCTGAGTCTTAACTGAGGTTGTATTAATTGTTGTAAATGACTTTCTTTAACGCTTGTTAAAACTAAAACATGCTGTCAGCTTTGCTTAAAGCAATCCTCAACTCTTTGCTTTATTAGAAGGATTCTGGTGCAGTCAATAAGGTTATCTTCTTACAAAGTAATTTCTCAATTACTCTAGTAATACTGAAGAGGTATGCAGACTCCTTGTTCATTGTACCGGTATACTTGATGTAGGTAGATTTGAATTTTGTAGTCAGTGGGCAGCTTTTAATGACACGATGAGTGTCTTGATTGGTTTTTGGTTATGTTTTTGGGTTTGGTTTTTTTTTTTTTCTTTCCACCCTTTCCCCCCTCCACCTCTTCTCCCCAGTTGTCCTTACATGGATCTGTGTGGCATTTTTCTAATTCTGGCTTGGCTCAAAGAGAGTAAAAGATAATGTATTCTCTTGCATTTGAAAGGTATGTATGTTGAGAAAGCAGGAGAAATTCAGCTTGGCTACCAGTAAAGAGCATGTATTATGGATTTTGAAGCTGAAAATAACTTGAATAGTCATTTAACAGTGAGCTGGGATCTTTAACTGGAGTCTTAAATGCTCTGTCATATGTGCTGACTGACTTTTTTTTTTCCTCTCTTTTCATATGATGACAAATCATCATGGATGTAGGGTTGCGGGTAAGTTACTTTTTTTATGTCTGTAGAAACACACTACTATCTAGACATTCTGTTAATTTTAACATTTTAAACTTTTATTTGTTTTGTTCCCTCTAAGTGTGGTTGAATTCAAAGATGAAGAATTTGTTAAGAAAGCATTAGAAACTATGAACAAATATGATCTTAGTGGAAGACCCCTGAATATTAAAGAGGTATGGTTATTGCTGCTGTTTCTAATTTTAAATAGCGCAGATACTATAATTACTGAGACGACAATGCAGTGTTTTGAGCATCATAACTGTGTCATGTCTAGTTTAATTTTTTTATGATATTTTCCTAATGGGCTAAAGTGCCTATTGGCTTGCCGAAGGTCTTGACCCAAGTGAACTGACAAAAAGTGTGCCCTACAGTCAAAATAATCTAACACTCTTTTTCTTGGAAGCAACTTTAACTTTGTATTCTTACCTTAGTGTCATCAGGTCTTTTCCAACCTAAATGATTCAATATTTACATTGCTTAGCTGCTTCAAAATATGATGTAGAATGAGATGAGTATCGGACTACTACATATGTGCAAAAATGGAGCTGGAAGTAGAGAACTTGTGCTGACTGGAAAGTGAAATTAATAGTGTTGTAGTATATGATGGTGTCTGATGCAGCTCTTTTTGTCCTGTTAGAACTTTAATAATGGTATTAATAAAGAATAAAAAAAACCCTAATTAAATTAATTCAGTTCTTGGAAGAAGGTGCTAGACTGACAGTCCTTTAGATTGAAATCTTTTCTACTTGTCCATAGGCTAGGTACAGCATGTGAAGTGGCAGTGCACGCTTCCTCAACAAGTGCTTTGCCAATATGCCTCAACCCTCATCTGAAAGGACCCACCTCTAGAGGTGAGGGAATTAGGTCTCCGTGGTAATTCAGTTCTTGATCCCTCTGACATGGACAAGGATATTAGTTGATAATTTTGATGGGTTTATGTAGAATTTCAAATAGTACCTTTTTGTTTGTTGCCAGTCCTCTTGTCGATGATTAAGTTGGCTTTATTTTTGCCTCTGTTTCAGGATCCCGAAGGTGAACATGCTCGTAGGGCGCTACAGCGTGTAGGAGGACAGTTTCCAGGAGGACATGGACCTGATGTGGCACCTGGAATAATGAATTTACCACCTTCTATCCTCAATAATCCAAACATTCCTCCTGAGGTTATCAGTAACTTGCAGGCAGGCAGGCTTGGGTCCACTATTTTTGTTGCTAATGTAAGTTTGAAAGTGTATTTTGTAACTGTAATATTTGATCTTTGTAAAACATCTTGTATTCCTGCATAGGTCAATTTTAACATAAAGAGGAAATTGGAAATGTTAGTTCACAATTAACATATTCAGCTAAAAATGCTGGATATGTCTTCAGATTTTGGACGTGAAAGATACGTTAAACTCTTGAGGCTGACATGCACTTCTGATTATTGCAGTCATCTGTTGATTCGAAAGAATATTTTATACATCTTTTCACTATTTACAGTTGCATTTCTTCTTTTTAATTAAATATACACTTCACTTTATCTTGTTAGTTAGTTTAACTTAAACTGTTGTATTTGTTGGAGATGCTTATTGCATAAATTCTGTATTTGCGCAAAAGACTATGTCTGCAAGGAGACTTGTGGGGAGTATAGATGCTCTTGACAATAACCCATCCATTTCTCAATGTTAACATGTTAATTAAAGTAAAATATGTATATGTAATATAAATTGTTGCTTTTAGTTTACATTTTTGGACATGGCTGCTATGCATGTATATTACAAAATCCTGGTTACTTACATATATAAAGCATTTTGTGAAGCTGAAGAGTTACAACAATGCAGAAAATATTCAAAGTGCAATGGCAGAACAGAAATATGCATTGAAATCACTAATGTATTTCTGTGTGTAAGCTTGACTTTAAAGTTGGCTGGAAGAAACTGAAGGAGGTATTCAGCATTGCTGGAACCGTAAAGCGTGCAGACATCAAAGAAGATAAAGACGGCAAGAGTCGAGGAATGGGAACAGTTACCTTTGAACAAGCAATTGAAGCTGTTCAAGCAATATGTATCCTTGGTTTTGAAAAATAATTGATCAGATATGGATTAGTCTCTAATGGCTTCTGATAGCGTAGTTTTGCTTATTTTGGTGCTTATTTGCCTTGTAGCTAGTAATAGGGAGCAGAATGCAATACTGTGAGGATTGCATTTTTAATAGTGACTGAGTTTACTGCTAGAGTCCAAAAAGGTGTTCCTGATAAAGTTGAACAAGCTTAAAATACGGGGGAACGTGATGTGTGAAACTAACTTTTATATACCTAACAGCTTGTGTAGTCTCTTCTGGCCTTTGAATTGGCATTCTAAAGATGAGGTAAGGAAAGACAGATTCTTAAAAATGGTGCAGAAATAAAGTAAGTTTTTACAGTGATTCTTCTGAAATAGTTAAATTGTTTTCTGTAGTTACCTTCCTTGACTTGCATTTCTTCAGCTATGTTCAATGGACAATTCCTGTTCGATAGACCCATGCATGTAAAAATGGTAAGTTGCTTACGTATCTTTCTACCTTACATGTCTCTGCCAAAACGTTGAAAGGATTGTAGTGTAACATCCTTGTTTTTTATCAGGATGACAAATCAGTTCCTCATGAAGATTTCCGTGTTGCAGACAGCAAAACTTCACAATTACCTCGTGAGTGCACTGTTTACTACTCCTTGCACTTAATACATGTTGATACAGTCTTGGAACAGTTTAGTAGTACTTTTGCTTGCTGTGGTTTCTTTATGATACGGAAGAAAATCTTCTGGTGATACTTATTTTTGTTTTCAAGGTGGTCTTGGTGGCATTGGTATGGGACTTGGACCAGGTGGACAGCCCATCAGTGCAACACAGTTGAGCATGGGTGGTGGAATGGGGAGCATGGGTCCAGGAGGTAAATCTGTGCTCTTAATTTTTAAGTTTCACAGAGCTTTAAGTTTAAAATTGTCACTTCTGTGTTTGGAAGAATGACATACTCTTGACAAAGCAAGCCTTGTGTAGTGTGCTTTTGAGATGTTAACTGTCTCTGCATTTTTTTAAATCCATTAGGATCTTACCTGTCTTCTAAATGGTGTTTGTCTTTTTGATTTAAAGGTATGGGAATAGATGGTCCAGGATTTGGCGGAATGAATAGAATGGGAGGCGGTACGTGCCGTAAAATTCTTTGCATTAATTATTTTTTTAATATTGTATAGAAAACACTTCCTTATTTTACAGGACTTGCTGGATTTCGTGGAATGGAAGGAATGCCTAATATGGGAGGATTTGGAGTCAACCGAATGGGAGGTAGGTGAACGCTGTTCCCATGCACTTAGTAGTTTGCTAATATTTATTTAATAGAAGTCCTTCCTTTAGGGATGGGTAATGTAGTTGGGCCCTGAGGAAATACAGTCAGTGGCATGAGTGCAGGCAAGGAGCTGGTGTGGAAGTTAAGTATTTAATAGGTGCCTCTGACTTCCACATTAAATCCACTTCTATTTAAACAAGCAGCTGTGAAAAAAGTGTTGTATGAACATCAGCTTCGATGTACATAACAGAGTAATTCTGGTTTTTTACTTTGTTCTTGGCAGAAATGTTCCGTGGTGGAATGGGAGGAAACATGGACAGAGATTTTGGTCGTAGTGACATGGCATTGAACCGTGGCTTTGGAGATTCATTTGGAAGGATGGGTATGGTAACTGTTAAATTTCTGGTGGCATGTTGCGACATAGTATTGGAAGAGTTTTTTACTAGAAGAAAAATCAAGAGACCTGGTTTCACTTGGTCATCTTCCTCTGTTCCCTCTCTCTGAGTTGTTACTACAGGGATGTAATTTGAGTATTTATAATAGCCACTGTTTAGGACGGAGGTTAAAGCATGGGGTTTTTTTTCCATCTGTAAAATATAAACAAAATAGTGATGTGAGGAGAGTGTTTAGCTTCATACTGTTAACTTTGTGAGGTATTAAGTCTTTTGGGTATTAAAACTATACACTTCTGGAAATCCTGAACAAGCTGCCCATGTACCACCTCTTTAACTTCCAGGAGCCTGCTTTTGCAAATGCATGCTGGAAAATTGTTTTTTCTGAAAATCAGGTAGCACTGGATAGGAATGGTGAATTTTGGTGCCCTCTGTTTTCCTCCTGCCTTTTGTAGCTCAAGCAGCTCAGAATGGGATTTACCGGCCTCTTCTGTAACTGAGCCAGCTTTGTTTTGTTTATAGATGAAGTCTTGTTGACAGAGTTAATTTTATTACTTTTGGGCTCCCTCAAATGAGATACTTTTCTATCTTAATAGGCTTGGAAGTGCTTAACAGTAGAGCCTTTTTGCACTTTTTTGCTATACTGTTACCTGGATGATTGCATTACAGGAGACAGATTTTCTTCCCCCTCCTCCCCATTTTCTTCCCTTTCCCCCTCCCTTAATTCCCCACTGTGAAAGAGAAGAGCTGCTAAGAACGTAAGGTTCATCCAGTCTAAAAATTGAATTTTTTTTTCCTTTTCCTTTTTAATTTGGGCAAGTCATAACAAAGGGTAACTCCTGTGTGCTTCTCTTTGAGCACTGGTAATTGAGTACTGGTAATTGTGTAGAAGTGATAAGAATGTAATAAGTTTGTCAGTTCAGTTAGTCTTGATGTCTCAGAATTAATGTCTTAGAAATTAAGTGTATGCTTTCACTCTGTCTACTTGCAACATAGGATAAACATCTGTTTCTGGAGTGCAAATCCAAAGCCACTTCAGTTATAAATGTTTACGCAAGCAGTAGACTTCTGAGTCTTCTGGTAACACACATTGGTTATGAAATGCATGAACATGGCCACTTTGAGAAGCTGATGTGGGGAGTCATTCATTCAGTAGATCCGGCAAGCTTCAACTTACAACCTCTCAGCAATCTTGCCATTTAAATACTGTTCTGAGAACCAAGATAAGAGTTTCCCAAGTTATCCTTAAGTAATGGAAGGAAATTGTAGGGATTTACAAATGTAATACCTAATAGATACTGTGTCTAGGCAGGGAAGACCCTAGTGTACTCCTATGACAATATTTAGGTTGAAAGGAAATGCTGTGAATGCTTTTGGCTTTAATACCCTGTCAGTTTCAAGGGGGGCAACTTAAAACATTTATCTTTGATTGAGCTATGGCATCAATTAGTGAAAATGAGACTGATTTGCAGCAGAATCATTGGAGTTGCCATTTAAATTGCCAAAATTTTGAAGTATCCAAAAAATCAAAGTTTGTGTCCTAGAGCATCTCTGAGCATACAATTTTTCTGATGAAAAGCCAGTGGGGGAAAAAGTACAGGTAAAGGACGTTTGTAAGGTCAGAGACAGCTGAAATTTTCCTTATTAGGATTATTTGAGCTTTCAGGCAGTGTGTGGTTTTTTTTTTTTTTAATTTGTATCTTAGACTTTTGGGGAGACTTTTTTTGTTTTTAAAAGAATGAGCGTAACTGGGGAGCACTCAGAAACAACTATGGTTTTCTAGCTCTGGAAAAGTGGGGATTTTTTTTCTTAACAATTCTTTTTAAGGGCAAAGAAGTTATGTGGACAGCAATTTCAAAAATTCCCTTGGTGTTTCATTGCAAGACCCTCTCTGGCCTAATGAATAGGTATTAAGATCTTCCTCTTATGCAAACTGTTGGCTGAAGTGCTGGGAGTAATCCTGTTGGCGTTGACAATTGGTAGTTTTTTTAAACAGGCTAGTTAGTCCCTGTTTTTTGAGGTCCTGGTATGGCTATGACAGCATGTCTGAGAGGAGACAAGTATTTCCCACAAGAGACCAGCAGGGAGCAATTGTTGCTGTTTTCAACTGTGTGGAGAAAATGAATCTAACAGAAAACCCAGCAGTGACCTTTTTTAGATACTAAAACAATGGTGTCTAGTCTAAAGACAACAGTTACTGATCTATTTTGCCATAAGTAGAAACTGGGCTGTTGCTTTTAAGTATGACAATCAAGCAAGAAAAATGAAGCTGACAGACCCACTCTGTTCTGCAGTGACAGGAATGTAGTTTGAGTTTCTACAATTCTAGAAGCTCCCTTGGGATTACTTTTATTAATATTAGCACTTCAATAAAAGAATTATTTTTACCCCACTCTAGAATCAGTCTCTGATACCATTCTGGAGATTCCATGGTTCTGCCAAATAGCTTTTATTAAGAATTGATTCCCTTTCTTTCTCCCTTTTTCCCATCACATTCTATCAGTTCCATCTTCTAAAGACAGACACAGGGAGAGCTGCTCCTAGCTTTTGCATAGGTTTCTTAAAAATGGGAGAAGCTCGGGCATTTCTGTACTATGAAGTTCAAATAAGCCGAACCTGTCAGTTTTGAGGCTGTTCTTCCCAATGTGGGAAATAGCTCATTTAATTTTAAGGTGTTTCTGCTGGCAGACTGTTAGTGGAGAGAAAAGCTAGAAAGAAATCCGAGTAGTTTAAATCCCATAATAAAGAAGGAGGAACTAATGTTACTTAATAGATGTTTCCTTTTTGAATAATAAAGGTAAATGTTAAAGTGTTCTGCAGAAAAGAATTGCCGGGTAACATTGAGATCAGTGCATTTCATCAGCATGTACTTTGTTGTTGTCACTAACTGGTGGTTTATGTCTCAGGTGGTATGGTTTATGCTTATGGTGGTATGTCACTTTTTTTTTTTTTTTTTTTCTGTTTAGGTGGTGCAATGATTGGTGTTTTTGCAGGAGGAATGGGGGCGCCTAGCATGGGCCCAGTAAGATCTGGAATGAGTAGGTTAACTTGTTTCAATAGAATGTAAATACATAGGCAATGTAATGATACTGTGTACATGTAATTGTATCAGAGGATTTTTATTACACTGTAGTGTCTTGCAAGTGCTGGAAGTAGTAGAATTCTGTTGCATGTAACTACAAGTTTAATAGTTTTTAAAGCTGTTCTGTTGAGGTAAAAGTTCAGAGGAAAACTTGCTAATACAGTCTTTCCCTTAATCTTAGTTTTGAAATTATTTTAACTTCTGGTTTGGAGGGAGAAGTGATTCAGATAAACTTGTATTCCAGAAAAAAGACAAATAGGCAGAGTTATTTGTGTGAATTTCGTGAAGCTGAGCTTCAGTTATCTCTCATCATTGAAATAAAAAAATCAGCCTTGACTTTCGGATTATCACTCAGTTTAATTTTGTGCAAAGCTCCAATACTGAGTTTGTATTACAGCAAAAAGTCTGAGTTCCTCAGGCTAGAGCAGATGAGAAACTAAAATCTTGCTAGTGGCAATCTTGAGAGGTGTATGTCTTAAAGAGGAGGTTCCTCATGAATGGTCTTGATAGTTTTGCTTCACATTAATTTTTAATTAGGAATCCAGAAATACTATAATAGGATTATTTGAATGCCACTGATCTTAGTTCTTTATATAATATACATTAGTATATTTCATTGCATATATCATGGGAAAGCCCATGCTTTTCACAGTACTTGCAGTAACATCTGTTCTCTGCAAAATATGCTTACTGTAGAAGATTGTGTCATTAAGTGTGGCTGCAGTAAGTAAAGCTGGATGTGAATGCAGGAAGCAAAATAAAGAACAGTGTATATGGTCAAATGATCTGTATCTTAACATTGTCACAGTTATTTACTCGTGCTCTTTTTGGTACAGGGTATCAAATTTTTATTAATTAAACTGGACAGCCTTTCAATCTTAATTCTTATGTTCAACATATTACTACATTAGATGGTCTGACTAATAGCTTGATGCAGTTTGGTTTTTGCTTTTATTTTAGAATTGACACATTGTATCTTCTAATACTTTGACTTAGAATATTAGCCATGCTACTAGATAAATCACTGTGCATATGTGAAGTTATGTTTTGTATTACAACAGTTTTATTAAAGTTCTTTTTCTCCCGACACAAAAGTTTTTTGGTTTTGTGCTTTTTTTCTTTTTTACAAAATACCTGTGCATTTTTTACTAAAAAGAGATTTTTATTTTATCCTCCTTGTCTTTCTCTGTGTAGGTGGTGGAATGGGTGGTATGAACAGTATGGCTGGAGGAATAGGAATGGGGATGGATCGGATGAGTTCTGGTTTTGATCGAATGGGACCAGCTATGGGTGGAGGACTGGACAGGAACATCGATATCGATCGAGGATTTGTGCCTGGCCCAATGGGAAGTGGCATGAGAGAGAGATTAGGCTCTAAAGGCAACCAGATATTTGTGAGAAATGTAAGCATTTGAATACATAGAAACCATGAGGTTGAAACCATGAGGTTCTTTTGTGTGCATATTTGATTACATGCTCTTTTTCTCTTTGTAATATTTTGTAATTAATAATACTTTTTTATTCTAGCTTCCTTTTGACTTGACCTGGCAGAAGCTAAAGGAGAAATTCAGTCAATGTGGTATGTATATGAATCTTATCCCTGCTCAGCTCCATCGACTTCATGTTTTATATGGTGTTCGTTAGATAAGGACAGGAAGACAAGGTGGTTGCCTTATTCTGAAGAAGAGTCTGGCTAGTCTACTTTTTCTTACTTCCCCCACCTTTCTAAATAATTTTTAGGCATGACATGACACATGAGACCAAGGTACAGTATGGGCTATGTTGGTTCCGAGTGCTCATCTGCTATAAACTTTAACCTGTTCCATTAATAAAATTACTCTTTGAGCTTTTTTTTTGATGCAGGTATTATGTATCCTCTGGCCAAAACAGAGTATATAATGTAGTATTTATTTTGAGACAAATGCATGCAGGGGGCTGGGCCTGTCCAGGTTATGCATTACTTCCAGAAATGGTGCTGCATCAAATCAGAGTTAGTAATTTTGCCAAAGTGGCAGCTTGGTTTTTATGCACATAGATGATCCTGATTAACATATTTGCGGGCTGTAATGCTTCCCCTTTATGTTAAGAAATAAAGGCCCTTTTATGTAAGATAAAGCATTGCTGCAAATATCCAATAATTCTTTATCTAATTCAGAAAAGTTGTCTTTCCACAGAAGTGAATGAAAAATGAAGCTTGGTATAGAAATATGATTGTTTTGTTTTGAAAACACACTTTCAGAATGGAAAGCTTTAACTGAATTACAGATAGTTTTTCCTATTTTGAGAGACAGAAAAGATGAATAATATATAATGTACTCCTCATGCCTAAGACAGTCTTCATACAGCTATTTGCAGATTTGATATAAATTAGAACTCACAGTTCAACCATGAAAAATTTTCAAGTGTTCCCAAATTTTTTTGTAGCTGGAGGATATAGCCAAACAGGTTCCTTATTTTTTTAAGTTGTAACTGCCTGGGCAACTTTCAGATAGTTCAGATTTTTTTTTTATTATCTCCTCAGCAACTAGCAGATGTAGTAATTATGTTGAATTGTTTTTAAGAATTATAAGCACAAATACAGGCAACAGACTGTATTCACGCCAGTATCGTAAGGAAATACAAAGACCATGTCTCCATATGTTCAATTTCTTTCAGTGAAAGACCAGTCTTGTATTATATGATATTTAAAAATAAAAAGCTATGTATTTTAGGGAAATATTTCTTGTTCCTAGTGGGATTTGGGGGCTCAGGAGTGGTGTGCTACAACATACCATAAGCAAAAACTCATTAGTTCCAGGCATTGAACATTCTGAGATACCAAGACATCTACATAAAAATGTTGAGTGTCCAACCTCAAGAAACCACTGCAGGAATTGAATAGTGCATGCTACTTTTCCACCACTCCTAACCTGGTAACTTTACTGTTTTAAAGGCTCTAATTTTGCTCTGCAGCTTCTTTTCAAAATTGCTCCATTGTTGTGGTTGCTTGGCATGTTGCTGTGATAAACATGGTAGACTGCCTGTCAGTGATCACACCTCTGGCAGTGTTGGTAAATAAAACACAAAACTTTCCCTTAGCCTTATAGAGCACTTTGTTTCAAACCTGAGGTCAAATACAGGCAGACTTCATCTTACACTAGTGTGAAGGAAAGATTTGAAACAGTGGATCTTAATTTGGATTCTTCACTGCTGTTTTAACCTGTGCACCTTCCCTGAATGAGTGAATATACCATCGGTCTGAAAGTGCTAATTTCATATGTTCCCCTAGATTATATTTAAAAATGCTTTTTTATCGCTTCTGATGAGTTCTTTAAGTTGTTAGTGCCCTGAAGACTTGAAATAACAGCTGTTTAACTTATTTATTCAGGTCATGTAATGTTTGCAGAAATAAAAATGGAGAATGGAAAATCAAAGGGCTGTGGAACAGTCAGATTTGACTCACCAGAATCTGCTGAAAAGGCCTGTAGGATAATGAACGGCATAAAAATCAGTGGCAGAGAAATTGATGTACGCTTGGATCGCAATGCATAATTTAAAACTGTGTGTTCAGGAACATTCCTATGTCTGTTTAGCTTCTCTATCCTAGTAAGTCATTTTTAGTAACATTGTATGCTTACAAAAGCTGTAAAAAGGAACTTTTAAATCCCACCAGCCTTTAACAGTATAGTGTTTAATATACTGTGATACTTGTTAACTGAATCTTACTATGTTTGGTTTTTAAAGACAATTTGCCTGATTTTTGTTGTTTTTTTTAGAGGCACTGAGCACCTGCAGGTCCCTGTAGACCGTGGAAGCTTTGGATGCTCAGCGCCTTTGGAAAATTAGGCCAAGTGTCTCTAGTCATTCAGTTTAAATGAATGGTTATACTGTTTTTAATAAAATAAGCCATTTTCTCTGTTAATCTCAAGTTTGCATAGTGGGATTTGTTTAGTGTTCTGTTTTTTTTTTGTGTATCAACATTGTAATGTAAAAACTAGATGTCTTTTTTTTTTTCAGAATTTTGGTTTAACGTGTGTTGTAGTCATACTGTAATTCTTGACTCTAAAAGAAAGGGCTCCAGTTAGGCTGTGATGTTTTCGTTCTACTTAATATTACTTTAATGACATGACTTAGTTCTGTAAATAAGATTTAGAGCCCAATGGGAGTTTTGAATTTTTTTTTTATTTTGACTAAATGAAGAAATTGATCTTTCTCTCCTGCTTTAATTTTTTCATCAGTATAATCACTGATTAAAACTAGTTACCACAGACCCTTGTAGGATTGTTCCCTATGATGCCAAGTTCATATAAAATTGATAATAGAGTAAATACTAAGTACAGTACTAGACAAATTGCTCCCAATTTTTTATCTATTTTCCAGCCATTCAGGTGAACTGCCAGAAAAATAAAAACGACAGAACAGATAAGAGAAATGGCTGTGTATGTCAAACCACTGCTGTTCACTTCTACGGGTCCTGATGTATTTATGAAGGCAGTTTTTATAAACCAGGGTATTCCCAAACAGAGCATATCAAATACGTTGGATCCTACAATGTTAGACATAGCCATATCTCCATTTCCTGTAAAAGAAGAAATACAAATAAGTCCACTTAATTGTATTGTATGAAATTGCTAAACTGTTTTGGAGGAACAGACGCTCAGTCCTCAATTTCTCACGGAGCATCCTTTTCAGATTTCACTGAAAGAACTATAGTCATGATTCTACAGAACATGGTTTTGGGTACCACAAGCATAAAAAAAAGTCTCCCTAAATCACCAGCATCTGCACAGTTGCACTTAAAATAAGCTAGATAGGCTATTATAAAATCCAGTCATGTTTAAAATACCAAGACCTACAATTCTGTTTTGCGGTAAAACTGACACTTGATCAACAACAAATCAATCTAGAATACTTCTTTGAGATACTCTTGAGAGGTTTTAAAATGTCTGAGCCACAGATTCTTCAGGTAAGCTATTTATTTATTAATAGTAAACTTAAGCTCTAGAATCTGGAGAAAAAATTTTGAAGTTACTTCTTGAATTTCTGGAAATGTTGACTAGAATTCTTTTTTTTTTTTTTTTTTTTCATAGTACCTTTTAAACACATCCATTGGAATGAGCCTGAATACTAAAATCTTTACCTTTTCGAGCCACCAGCACACTTGCAACTGTATCTGGTACACTTGTTCCTGCTGCTAGTAATGTGAGACCCATTACTGACTCTGGAATCCCCAGTGTTTCACCTGCAGTTGATAAATAATGGTAGAAAATGCAAGTATGGGTTTTTTTAGTTCAAATTTCATCCAAAGAAATTGCTTTGGACTTTGTTTGCTGGAGAAAGGATTAGTAATCATACAGTAACTTCAAAAGGAATCTATCTGCTAACTTGACTAAATATGAAGTGACTGAACCATGAAGTAGTTAAGAACAGCAAAGAAATATCATCCTGTCCTTGATCTTCAATCAAATAAAAAAGAAATTGTAGTATAGTAACCATCTTAAGTTTCTTGAAGACCTGAGTGACCACCTCAGGTGGTCAAGACAATACCAACTATTAATTATTTTCTTTCAGATACAGTAGAAGTTTAAGTATCTAACAACTTACTACTTTTTTTTTTCCCTTCAATTTCTGGAAAATATAGTAGTCTTCTATGTTTTTGAGCATTTCATTAGTGCTCAAAAGTCTCATGAAGCAATAATTTATAATCACCCACTCTTTAAAGGGGGAGTAAAAACATGAGTTTTCTTGGGGAGGAGAGTCATTAAGATCATTACTACAATACTGTCTCAACTACATGGCTTTACCATTTCACTCCAGTTAGGAAGTTCTTTTGTTGGATTCTGAAGAATCAAAATGCAGAACTTTTATATGACTTCTAAGTAGGTGCAAGTAATCCTTTAGAAATGTGAGTTTCTTCAGGCAAATACTGGTTTAAATTAAGAAAAGTTTGGAATTGTTATTAAAACAGCAGCTTATTTTTCCGCACTCTTTGTTTTTTTTTTTTTTTTTAGCCCCGCATGTCCTGTAAGCATATTGATTTCTCACTGAAAATCCAGGGATTCAGGTCTTCAAAACTGTTTTGGCAGTTGTACCATTCACAAGCATCAATATGCTGAAGTATTTGATACCTCTATTCAAACTATTAAGTAATAAAGTTTTTCTTAAACTTTTGTTCACTAAAAAGTATCTTAATTTTTTTTTGTTGAAATCTGAATTCTTACTTGCAATATTTAGACACTAATAAGAACAGTTTTCTTAAAGTAAGAGGCAGTACTCTCTAAGCTAGGTCAGCAGTGCTTGCCTAGTACATACCAGCTTAGTCTACATCAGCCCAGTAAATTTATGTTTGAAAGTATTGTTGGTTCAGAGGGACTAACATGATCCTGTTGCAGAATTTGTATTTACCATCACTCCTAATGTAAGAGATTTGTAGGATGAGGGACCAATGAGATCAGCTTTTATAAACCATCCAGGCTGGAAAATAACATTTCATGCCAAGCAAACCAAGGTGAAATATGAATGAATCAGCCTTATGTACCCAACAGTAGTTTCTAGCCCTCTGAAGGTTGTAAGATAGAATCGAAACTCAGGTGAATCTAATTTTTATTAGCTAGATTTATCTTCTATTTAATATGTAGGGCTTTTTTCTGGCAACTGACCATAAAGAGAGAATGGTCTTATTTTTCTAGCCTTTAGTTAATTTTGTGTATCAGTAGCAATATCTTGCTATAAGTAGTCAAATTTTCTTTTGCTTTGTTCTTGACCATTAAAATTTAGTCCCCAGCTGTGATACCTTTGTGATGTTCTGATAGGCTATTTATGCAACAGATAGAATCTTTGAGTCACCCTTCATGAAAGAACCTGGACTTGAGTATAATGTGTGTGTAATTTTTAGCATTTTAACATGTAAATAGAACATATTTGACCTAGAGGTAGTGGGCTAAAGACCCAAACACTGCCTGTGATGACTCTTCAAACTGGACTAACACTAATACACTGTTTGAATCTCCAGTGTACCTGCTTTCATATGAATTAGTGCTTTGTCTAGTAGAACAGCAATAACTTTCATTTGAATCCTGTTTCAAAGGCGTCTAGCATTCAGACGGTAAACCCTTGCTCTTTAGATACAAGTGGAAAATTATTTGACCAAGGAGTGAACCTGGTGAGTGTTACATTCAGTGATCTACTAATAATTTCTCCAAGGTTTACCAAATATGTAGGTCTGTTTCTGCATCGAACAAGGAGTTATTCATTGAACTTAAGTTGAAAACAAGTTTAGGATGCTGAACTAGCAGAGTAGTTGAGTAGGATTAGCGAGCTATAATGTAGAAATGGCAAGCTTTGTAATGTTTCTTTCTTGTTTAGAGATTTATTTTCTGCTTGTTCTTGAAATTAAAAACTGGATTTTTCTCTGCTGTCTGGAGGAACAGTGAAATGAGGAGACCTTTAATACCTTAAGATATTTTTAAGAGAATGTTTTTATACACAAGTTCATACCCCTTCTTTCACTTAAATGCAATTCTTTTACTTTATGATGCAGATTTGTAAGAGGTATACAGACACCAAGAATGTTTAATAAATACACGAAGCTATAGTTGAGATAAAATAGTACAAAAATTTGGGAGGTGTTTTAGGCAGTTAATTTAATGCCAAATCTCTCGCTATAGTGTTCAAAATATGTAAGTATAGAAATAATAGATCATTTACAGAACCCTGAACCTTTATGTCCAGTCTTGGTGGATTCCATGTTTGTCAGACTTCACAGGTTTATTGCTGTGTATCTAATTGTTTCACTTAATGAAGCAATTTAGTGGAACTGTCTCTTTTTAAATATAGGATATTTTTTGTAGCTATGTAAACAAATTCTCATTCGTGTTATGGTAAGCAGTCTGAAGCAGCTAAACTGTAAAGTGGTTTTCATTAGATGGAAGAAGGTGGAAAACGGAAAACTAAGCAGTCAAACATAAGTTTTGGTTGGTTTTGTTTGGGTTTTTTTTTCTACAGCAAAGTATGTGTTGCTAAACTGACTGTTAATTGTGGAAAGGAAAACTCTTCACAGGGAGAAACTTTTTTCAGTGATTCTCAGTTGGCTGATTCTGTATAGCAGCAGCACTTTAGGTACCTACCTGCTATTGTTATCATCCATACAAGAACGTAAGTTATTGCAGAAATCCATGCTGCTGAAATTAAAAATGTCACCATGAACCAGTTCCTCCAAAACTGTCTTCTGCAATCTGGTATAGTCAAATAGAATAGCGTAATAACAGGAAGGGATAACACCCACAAAATTCTCTTCATATCTGCTTCAGGCATAGTGAAGACACTTGGATGATCTGTTGAAGAAAAAGTAACTACTTTAAATTGTAGCATTGAGTTTGAATCTGTAGCATACAGTCCTTGTTGCTGGCCTCTACTTGTGAGAATACTGAAAACAGGTAAAAAATACTTACTCGAGTTCTACCTGTAGTCTTACCCATTACTTATACCACACTGGACAAAACTCTGAAATCAAATATTCTTTATTACCATGTCACTAAGAGAAAACTAAGGTGCATGAAAAATGAGGTTTTCTGTAAAGGTTTACACAAAACATTTACCAAGAGTAAGTACCAACTGCTGTGTTTTGCCTAAGTGAAGAGGAAACTGATGATCTGTGGCCACATCATAGCTATGCCTTTACTTCTGATATGCATATTTTGGGCTATGAACCTGCCATCATGGTAAGAAACCAGTATGTATTAGTACAGTGCCAGCGTGTCTTTCAGCTGATGCTACATTTTACAAGAGGTGTTGGTGGGAAGTTTCAAACATGTACAGCAAAGACTGATGCAAGTCTATGGTTCTAAGATGACACAAATAAGCAACTATCCTAGCATTCCTCTAGCAACTATCTTCATATGAATACCACCACGCTGATTTTGCTTAACTTTGTACTTCAGGGAGAGAATAATTATTTACTTAAATACTATCCTGGAGCTCTTTTGTGAACAAAATCTTAATATCTCAGAATCTGCTTTTTATTAGAACTAACGCAGACAGGCATGCAGAGTGCTAGAGACAACTGTAATAATACTTCTACCTTCAGAGATTTCATCAAGCCCATGCAAGCTTGTTGAAAGTTGGGAGTAGTCCAGCTCATCTTGAAAAATTCCACTATCTGTTCTTGACTGTTGACGAATTAGAGGTCGACTCTCTTCCTTCCATCCAACCAGTGGCTGCTGCTCAGCATTCTCTTCCATAGCTTTTGTAAAACACGTACAGCAGGGACTGAACTTTGTAAAGAGGTACTGGTTGATTTTAATGTCAAAACATAGTACCAGAATATAACACCCGTATATCAGTAATAAGGATGCACTTTCATACCTAGAATGAAAAACAGATTTTTACCTAACATGTAATGTAAAAAACCCTGACTCTTTAACTCATTAAAAGGGGGTGGGGGGTGAGGAGGGTGGGTCTGGGGGAAGAGAGAGAGAGAGAGAACATTTGCATGAGTAGCAAAAGGAAAACACAAAAGCATCTATTTGGAGTTGTCTGGCCATTGTCATGGAAGTTCATGAGTGTCTCTATGTCTTTCAGCAGTTTGATTCGTTCCCCTCTCCTGCAGAATCTTGTTTGTGTTGTATAGCTGCATGTTTTCCAGGGGATCTTACTGATGGAACATCTTACTGATGCTTGTGAAGTTGAGCCTTCGTGTGATGGTTAAAGAGAGGGACAGTGTGTGCTATTTTGAGTGAGAAACTTCAGAGAGGTAGTGCTGGACCTGATTGACTTGTTGAGGCAATGGGAGTTTCGGTGTTGATGGAAGAGAGTTAAAACATCAGAAGCTTGTGATGTGCTTCTGGCAGACAAATGTTTTTCTTAATGGTGATGCTAACAAAGGAAAGGCTTAAAAGGAGTAAACTATGAAGGCTAACTGTTAGGCCAAAACAGTTGTGATAGAAATTGTGAAGTCTGTGCAGACAAACCTATGCAGATCAAACTAAATATGCAGGGTTTGAATGTGTAAGTAAAAATCTTTACAAGCATTGTGACTTTCTACGTTTAAGGCCAACAGGATGTTTATTTTGGTTAGTGAATGGCAGTTCAGGATACTCGAAGTTTGGGAGTTGGGTGTGTTTGTTTGTCAAAACACAGTCTCGCTAATCTCCAGTCAACATGAATTCAACACTACTTGTGCTCTTACCAGTAAATTCTGTTGTCAGATATCATCGCAAGGACCGCTGCTACACTTACTGTATATGCCAGACAGTCTCTAAAGAGCGGCCAACAGGATAGCCTTGAAACCTGCAGATCACAGATTCATTTACTTTTCTTAAACTTGTCTGTAATACTTTCACTAAGTGCTGTAAATGCTGCATCAATATGTTGTTTCTATATTATGTAAAAATTTAAGATTCCTAGGAATGACTTAAGTATGCTATTTAACAAGTTAGTGTTTTTAAAAACTTTCATAGCAAGCTATCTTAAAACTGATTACATGCTGGTTTTGCTACTAAATAATAAACTTGACAATTGTCATAGTAAGTCTCTCTTGGCTTTTGTTGGCAAATCAGAAAGGATAACCATTTGGCTCTTAGGAGCAGAACTATCAAAGTTGATACATACCACGCTGGAAAACAGCCCACAAGCTGCAGAAATACCAAGAAGATTATAAACTGCTGAGCCAAGGATGGTGCTGATGCCGATATCTCCCTTTGTCACGAAGACTCCTATAAGGAAAATGATTCTCTGGTATGTTTCAGTTTGGCATGCAAGGAAAAGAATTCTAGATTCTGAGGAGTCAAAACATATGTCTCTTACCTAGAAAAGCAGTGACAAGCTCTGGAGCAGAGCTTCCAGCAGCCATAAAAGTTGCTCCAGCAACATCCTGAGAGAGGCCAAGGCCTGAGGATAGAGCAAAAGAATTGTTTAAAAAAAATTAAAAATTATATATATATATATACACTTCAGTAGTCTGTACCCATTAGTTGCATTAGTATATCATGCAGAAGCTACTACGGTTTAATAGAATGAACTTTGCTTACTTTCATACAGTTAATGCATTTATCCAAAATTGGTAAAATAATATATTGAAAACATAGCCTCATTTATTGGGCTAATCTATTTCTAACTGTATTACAGAAATTAATTTAAAAACCAGAAAAGTAGTACTGATAGTAAAAGACATCTGAGTATGATCTTAAAATGTAGAACAGGCATACGTTTGTGGGCTTTAACTCTTTCATATGGGTAATAATTGTGGGGAAATTCCTTGGACTCTAGGGCGATATTGCTACGTGATCCATGTCAAGTCTATCTATCTTCCAGGGAAATCCATGCTACTGTGTCTTCACATACGAGAAACACTAGTTAAATTCAAACCAGTGCTGCGATCTTAAATTTTCACTTCGTATGGACAGTGTAAGAGCCTGTGTCTTGCTTGAATGAAATGAGATTTTTGTTCTGGTAAGTCAACTGTTTCTGAAATGTAACTCACTCTGGGGAACACTTAGTTCTGCACACTAAGAACAGGGACGTATGGCTAACTATGGAAAGAGTCTGACAAATGCTTGTTTATCATCAATAAAAAAGGTACCAGCTCTACAGCGATGTTTAAGCTCGCATTTTCTGTAAGTGTTCTGGCCTGGAGGATGTTTTCCAGTGTTCAGGGATGCGTTTCCCTAGGGAATTTTTTTAAATTCTTGGCAATGAAAAGCTGAGCCCTCAGCCAAGACCATCTCTTTAATTCAGTGGTCTGCTGAAGCCAGGGGAATTATTACAGGTTGATTAGATTTCATAGGATGGCTGTAACCATGGTATTCCTTCCCCTCCTGTGTCATACCTATAGTATGTAAACAGTAGCTCAGCCTGATGCTCATTCACTAGTTTGAGAGAAATACAGAAACTTGAGCAAGGTACTTAATTGCCATGTTTTAATACAGGGAGAGTTTTGGTTTCTTGGTTTACACCACCACCCACTCCCCCCCCCTTTTATTTTCTTTTACTAGTAACCTGGCTGTGTTGCTGCTCACCCCAAAGTTATCTCAGCAGTTATAGTTAATACTGAGGAAGTTACAAGATTTTCCTCCAGGCACAAGGAAAGCAAATTTTAAATGAATGCCTGTGCAGAATGTAATCAGAGTATATTTTAAAAATATATTGATACATTGTATCAAATTGTATTGGTAACTCTCACTACGGAGACTTGGGAACTTTCTGTAGTTTTGTCTCCAGAGCACTCTTAACTTTGAAGCTTTTCTAAAGCGAATGTTCTACACTAAGCTGCTTAATTTTACAGAAAAAAAGATCAGGATGTTCGCTTACATTCACTGATGATCTCCAGAGAAGGTAGGAAGTAATCATCGCACACAATGGACACGGCCAAAATCATGTAAAGTATAATTATAAAATAGATAACGACTCCTCCATCCTTTCTCTCCTGGGGTGTAAAAAATCCTTCAGGAAACTCCGATGAAGAAGAAGGGACACAACCCGTCCTGTTTTCTGAAAGTCGAGTACAAAGGTGTTACACATCCCACTACCTTTCCGCTTTTCAGGCTGTAGTGCTGTGCGTCAGGACTACAGCTGGGGGATAGCTACAGTGGATTTCTCTCTGAAAGAGATCTGGTTTTCGTTCAGGGACAAGGACAGCTGCAGCAACACCGATACCTGCAGCGCTGTCATCAAGGCGTTGCACACCTGGGGTGCGGGGTAGGCCCGCGGGCGGAGTTCCTGACCG